ACTCTGACGATCCTCAACAGAACATGGACAATCATCAACACAACAAAAAAGGTAAAAAAAACTAACTATGTTTGGATCGTTTTTTCAGTGTGTTTTTTTGGGTATTTTTTGTTTTGAAAATGTAAAAAAGTGCATTGGAAATGTAAAAAGGTATGTTGGGATGGGACAGTTTGATAGCAATCTTGTAGATGAAACAAATTTCGTTAATGCAACCATCAAACAAGAAAGTACGAAGATAATTTGTCTATCCCGTGAAACTCAAAAGAGTGCGGAAAATTCGCAGTAAGATGATCGTTTATCTAAGGAATTCTATCTCTTAACTCAAACCAAGCAAAGAACACATTATCTATGAAAGATTCAAATTAAACAACAACCCACACTAAGAATAGTAAGGACATCATTCAATATACTCGATCAGTCATCATTCAAGAGACTCAAGAAAGGTAGGAGCAAACAATGCTCAACTATGAAGGAATACTACTGATTAGTAATCTCCATAACCAACAAAGATATGCAACACATACACTATCTCAAAATTGCTTATGCCAAAGCACAACTCATCCAACAAAAGTAGGACAAACCCCACAATGGAACTCATGAACACACACATCATGAATTCGAAAACCATAGCCAAAAGAAAGGCTCAACTCTCGAACTACTAGAAGTAGTATGAAAATAAAAAGTTTAGTTTTAAAACAATTCTATCAAGAAGCATACTTGAAAAAGAACGGTTTCTGCAAGATCAAAAGATCCAAGACAAGATAAAAACCCTCTTGGTTAAATCATACTTGACACGAAAAATGGCCACACCATTTAACAAAAATTTCTCACAGGAAAAACTCTCATTAGAGAAGACTCAAAATGATCACACATGGGTGCTTTAACTTTCAGCCATCCCCCTTATTTATAGGCTAATAATCTTGGTCAAAGCACCAAAAAGAAGACCAACTAGGACTCTCTAATCTTATCTCACGCAGGAGTAGAAGTAGAAGAGTATTTGATCTCTTTGACTCTATCTAAAATCTAGGAAACCTTATCTAAATGACTTATTCTCAAATAGGATAATACTTAGAAGGAATCTAAGAAGGAAATCAAAACACTCTAGTTTAATTCAGTCCACGTGACTTATTTAACTAGATAAAATCAAAAATTGAACTCCTAGACTAGATAATACTCTAATTCTCAAAAATCAGCTCCAAATATTGAAGTAAAATATTTTGAACGCCCTTCTAAAAGTGGAATATTGGTTTTGCGCCCCTCAAGTTGTAGATAACTCCAATTTACTCCAAAACTTGTAGAATTCTCTTCATTGACTCCAAAAGATTGGAAAAACATTTGAAACAATTGAGATAGTTTGTAACCTATCCAATTGTGTAGCAACGGATTCAATCTTGAACACTTTGATCAAATAGGCCATCCATTCAAGAACCTAAATGACTCTTCTCTCTAGCTTGATCAATGATCTTCATGGAGCACCTAAAGTCAAACTCCCTTGAAACTCTTGAGCACTTATTTCCATGAGTGAATCATCTTCTTTGGTTTGGACCCCAAAGTTAATGACATTCTCATCGTCTTGATCATAACTCTCTTGAACCAACTCCCTATCACATATGTAGTCAAGGTCCATCCTTTCTTCCTTGATTGGCCTGCAAAGTAAACATTGCATTCCAAAACTAGAATGAAGGACTAGCTTATTCCCCTCACTAGGAGAATCACCATGGAAGGCTATATGATTCTCATCACAGTTATTATTTAATTATTTTGGAAAAACCATCAAAAAAACCTTCCAAACAGAGACTTTTTTTTACCAAAACAAAACGAACTAAAAAATTATACCACTAACAATAAAACCACCGCACCTGACACACATTGAGAATTCATAATTTCTAATACCCTATCACCACAATTCCCCCGCTATTGCCACTTGCCATGTCTCTTGAGAGCATAAACCTCCCTCCGTCTTGCTAATACCCGTTGTCGCTTCTCCTCTGCAACCAATACATAAATGGAATCATTGGACACTCTATCACAACCTGAGTTATCTCATTTCTCTGTGATATTACCACCATCCATCCCAACCTGACACTCAACCTACTTCCTCAAAGCATAAAGTATCCTTTGCTTAGCTGACTGACGTCCCTTGCTCTTCACCATCCAATCGCGCATCAGCCACTTGTTCCCCAGAACTTTCTTCTATCCGCTACCTACCTTCCCAGCACCGAACTTACCCACATTACATAAATCCATCTTAACTAATATAAAACAACCAGAGAAAAACTACCACAAACAAATAACCCAATTCACTCAAAAACTACCATCACCGATGCTTATTCACACACACAAACTTGGAGTTACGTACGTACACTACATCTCTTCGATCCTAGAGATTCAATCCATAATTTTCATCATCATAAATTGTTGTATCGAGGCAAGGAAAAATGATTAACATCTTAGTTTATAAACCACAGCAGACAAAATCATATCGTCAACTGTAAGATGGGGGAATGAGAGAGAGTAAAGAAAGATAGAAAAAGGTGAGAAGAATAACTTTGTGCACGCAAACTCACATGGGACTGTCAGAATACACTGCACGTATTTATTGCGAATAATATTCCACAAAGTCGTCATTGTCGGATATTACCCTATAAATATTCATTTTAGCCACTTCCCCTTACCTAGAGGGCTATTAAACAAACTTGATGGGAGTTTTAATTGTATGTTGCGGCAGTCAGAGAAGCTTTGAAGATTTTGACTTATCATAATGTTAGTTCGGCTTTCGCTGATTTTATTTTTAATCACGAAATGCATGAACTACGTACGGTGGAGCTCCCTTCACTTGGTTGCGTAATGGGGTGTCAGAAAAATTAGATCGTTTTATCGGTAATGAAACTTGGATGAATATGTTTTCGAATGGAATTGTGGAGCTTTTGCTGCGTGATCAATCTGACCATTTTTCTTTGATGGTTAGATTCGGCAACAGGTCTGGGGGAGCAGGAGAGTAGAAGCTGTTCCCTTTCGTTGCGACATGGATGATGCATGAATCCTTCCCGCTTTTGGTGAAAGATGTGTGGAGTCGAGAGGGCGACTACTCATCTAGGGCAGCTGATTTTGCAGTGGAAGCCCGCAAGTGCAATTACCATGTATTTGGTAATATTTTCAAGAAGAAGAAGCAGCTCATGGCACGATTAAGAGGTATTCAAAAGTCTCGTACTTTTTATGTTACTAATAAACTTGTTTCCCGTGAGAAGCAGTTGAGAGAAGATCTGAATGAGGTGCTTCTTCAAGAAGAGCTGTTAATGATTCAAAAATCCCGGAGAGATTGGTCACTTTTTGGTAATCGTAAAACGGCCTTCTACCGTCGTCAAGTGAAGTGCAGACGACGGGCAATAAAATTGTTGCCCTTAAAGATGAGCATGACCACCTAATCGTGGAAGAGGAACAATTACGTCGTATGGCGGTGGTATTTTTTGAGAAAATATACACAGCTCCGGCGGAGGTACACTCTTTGGCTCGCCTATCTGATTGTTTCCCGACAATTGAGAGGGGGCGCTTGGAGGTAATTGGCCGAAATATGAGGACTCGGAGATCAGTCAAGCATTAAAAACTATAGCTCCTCTGAAATCATCGGGTTTGGATGGTCTGCATGCTGTGTTTTTCCAACGAAATTGGGAGCTTGTCGGGTAGTCTGTTTGTGATGTAATTCGGAAGGTATGGGAAGGAGGAACGATGCCGACGGAATAAACAAAACACTTATTGTATTGATTCCGAAGGTTGATATTTCGGCCACAATAAAACATTCCAGGCCGATTAGTTTATTGAAAGTGGCTTATAAACTATTAACTAAGGTGATTGCTGAACGAATGAAACATGTGCTACCCCAATTAATTAATCCTGCCCAGTCTAGCTTTGTGCCAGGCCGCCAAAACACGGACAACATCATTGTTGCTCAAGAATTGGTGCATTCTAGGCGCATGATGTCGGGACGAAAAGGTTTCATAGTGGTGAAAGTTGATCTTGAGAAGGCATACAATTATCTTAGCTGGGATTTCATAAATGAATCGCTAGAGCGAGCGGGTTTCCGAAACGATTTGTTGACACAGTGATGACTTGTGTACGGTCTGCCTCAATGCAACTCTTATGGAATGGTGCGGTATGTGAGGAATTCTTTCCAACAAGGGGGCTTCAACAAGGCGATCCTATATCTCCCTATTTATTTGTGTTATGTATTGAGAGATTGGCTCACATGATTGACTCAGCTGTTGAAAACAAAAGTTGGAAGCCAATTACATTAGGGAGAGGGGCGGTAAAAATTCCGTACTTGATGTTAGCGGATGATCTATTGCTCTTTATTGAGGCAGATTTTGAACAAGTGGCTGTCCTAAAAGATGTGCTTCAAACGTTTTGCTTGGCATCGGGGTTGAAGGTGAGCGCTGCCAGAACACAAATGTATTACTCGAAAAATATGAGCCAGAAGGATAAGGTTTCGCTATCGGCTGATTTGGGATTTAACATGGTCGAGAATTTGGGAAAATATTTAGGAATGCCTATAATCCATGATCGGATAAATAAGCATACTTATGCTGGTATGTTAGAGAAGATGGAGACTAGACTAGCGGGATGGAAAGCTTCTTCGCTTTCAACGGCGGGTAGAGTAGTGTTGGTTCAATCAGTATTGAGTTGCATCCCTTACTATTCCATACAAACAGCACCGCTTCCTTTGTCCGTTTGCGAGGAGATCAATCGTAAATGTCGAAATTTTGTATGGGGAAAAACTAAGAGCCAAACAAGACTAGCCTTGTATCCTGGGACATGTTGTGTCAACCGCGGCGAACGGTGGGCTAGGATTAAAGGAGCAAAGGTTGATGAACAAAGCCCTTCTGATGAAGATGGGATGGGGTTTGCTAACAAAACCGGCAACGTTATGGGTGCGGGTGTTGGTAGCAAAATACGGCTTCAATCCGGCTTTGGTGAATGAAGACTTCTCATTCTCACGGGGTTCGATGAATGTTCGTGCATTGAAAGGAGTATGGAGGGAGGTTTTGGAGGGGGCACGATGGTCTTTAGGGGATGGGAAGATGGTTCGATTTTGGCTAGACAGATGGCTTGGCAACCAAGACACTCTTATCAGTCTTGCAAGACACCCAATACCGGAAGAACATTTGCAGCTCCCAGTAGCTAATTTTGTTTCAAATGGTGCTTGGGATTGGCAGGCGTTCCAGCACTTACTTCCGGCGACATGCTTAATGCGGCTTTCGGCGATTGCAGTTCCAACAGGAGGGGTAGGTGATGACAAGATGTATTGGGGGTACTCTGATGATGGTGGCTTTACTACAAAGTCGGCGTACTCTAAGTTGACCCCTACAATGGACAGTAATGATCGACATTCATGGAATGCTGTATGGAAATGGGTCGGACCGCAATGAGTGAGACATTTTCTATGGCTCGCGGCTCGCGGTAGTCTCTTGACGAATGACGAAAGGTGTCGACGGCATATGACAGATGAAGCTGGATGTGATTTTTGTGGTGGTGTTCGAGAAACAACACTTCACGGTTGCGGGATTGCCCGGCGGCCGCACAAGTATGGCATAGTTTGGTGCCTTTATGTATAAAGGCGAGATTTTTCTCGGCTGAACTGAGGGACTGAATTTGGGAGAATGTGCGTGGGTGGAGGAAGGATGTGATGCAGGACTGGAGTTGTTATTTCGGTGTGACGGTTTGGCGGATTTGGTCTTGGCGGAATGCCCGAATCTTCAAAGGCATGGATGGGGGCGTTGCAAGGGGGGTAAAGGAGATTGAGGATTATGTGGGAGGTGTTATCAAAACTGCTGGGACCGAAAAGAAAATTGGTGGCATAAATCGGAGTTGAGAATTACGGTTAATACACTGGTCTCCCCATCCATTAGATTGGTGAAAAATTAATAGAATGGCTAGTGCAGGAGGAGCGGTACCAGATTGCTATGGCCGTTGGTTGGGGAGAATTACCATGAATATTGGATTCTGTACCTTTACATGAGCCGAATTGTGGGGATTATTTCAGGGTTTGTCACTTGCATGTGAGAAGGGTGGTAGAAAAGTGATTCCTGAAGTTGATAACTCAAGCATTATTTCCATGTTACTAAGCATGAAGGAGATTGTTGGCCTTAATACTGGTATCGTTTATAGAATTCATGATTTGTTGAAGAGAGAATGGGTTGTGGAGTTTAAACATGTGTTTTGGGAGGCGAATTTCATGGCTGGTTATATGGCTTCATTAGCAGCTCAAGAACCGGGTGGACTATAGAGATTTGATGACCCGCCGTCAGGCGTCAGACCGTGGTTGAAGCATGATATAATAAGTGTTGCATATCCTAGAAATGTGCTAAGTTGAAACTAGGCTTGTTGTCTCTCTTTCTGTAACAAAAAAAAAAAAAAAAAAACAAACTTGATGGGAAAAATCTACCACCTTCTTCTTGAAAAATTTTCTCGTCGATCGTTGTGAGCCAACACTACTTTCTGGCTGCAGTTGATTTCCATTACCGCCTTGCAGCCGCATGCTTAGAAGTTTCTATATCTGATTTCAAGTAAATGCACCTGCTACCCCCTCTTTGCCGCCACCACAGTCTCTTTCTTCAGATCAAAGATTGAATATTTAGCCCACCCCATTTTCAGAGAATCGAAGATTCGGATTTACTCATCTTCAAGGTTCAGGGTAAAGAAGATAGAGAAGAAGTTCAGGATTCAGAGCACGAAAGGCGGCAAAGAAAATTAAAAAGCGAGAGAAAATGGAAGAAAAAAAAAAACACGCATATGTACTGCTCATTTATTACTGCAAGAGTGGATCATAATAGTCGCATCATTCCATTATTATTCTCATCCCCCTTTGTATTTACGCGAAAAGCCAAAGGGGACACTTTTTACTTCGAGGACAAAAATTGGACTTCGCCAGCAAATACACATACTTGGACACCTAAAGGCTAAAACCCATACTTTTTGAAGTGACCCAGCCAATGAATGATTTACAGGCGATCCAGTTACTGTTCTTCAAAATAACAACTAAACCAACACAAACACCCCATAACAGCAAGGGAGAAGCAGGCAATATTGTTTAACAACCCCATACCATTCACGGTTCCCACCCATATCCATAAACCCAGGGGTAAAATAGTCCGGACAGCCCACACAATGAACATCTTTGGGCGCACTCTTTCAACTTCTATATATATATATATATAGGTGAACAAAAGAGGGAAGGGGCCATCAAACGTGTGGAGAAATTGTGTGTAGAAAATAGAAACGAAATTTTTCATCATACTCCTTTTTTCTCACCATGTGCTATTGGGCTTACTCTCCTGCTCTCCATTCATCCTGAAGTTTTCAGTCGAAGAACCGGCGTTGAATGCTCGCTGCAGGTATCTGATTGGTAGCTTTATTCGATATTCTTAAACCCTATTACTACTTTATTATTCAATTTCATTTTGAATTCGAAATTGGCTCTGTTTTGCTTCTCCCGGGAACTGGGTTAGTGTAAGTCTCGGTTCGCTTAGTTCAGACAAAATGGCATCTTGGACAATAAAAGTATGGTTTTGGATAGTATATCTTCTTATTGTGTTGTTAATTGGTCGAGTTTTTAATCATACAGTTTTTCCAAGAGGAAATTGGGGATGATGGCCCTTCGTAATAATTTTCATGCTTTTTTCGTTCGGTTAAATTGTTTGTTTTTAAAACTTCGCGGGGACCTGTTTGTATTGAATTGTTGTTCATTCTCTTTCGTCTTTAATGGGACTTTTGTAGTTTTTTGTTCATGTTTTATGGCGTTTAATGATTGCTGGCTCGTTGTGTAGGAATGTTTGCACACCATTCTTGTCAGTACATTTGCCCCCATATTTGCTGATCAAACAAAATTAATTATAGAAGAGGCTCTCTGGCATTAATGCAGTTTCAGATGACTATATCTAGCGACAACATTGAGGGAGAGAACACCCGTTTGGCCAGGATAGAGTGTCTACAGGACAGCTTGAGGCGAATGCAAATTGAGGATCCAGCTTTCTTTTATGTTATTCAAGGTGATGATGATAACTCCTATGCAAATGTATTTTGGGCTGATGCAACCTCACAGGAAAACTACAACTGTTTTGGGGATACTGTTAGGTTTAACACTTATTGCGGGTCCCAAGGCTATGGAGTCCCTCTTGCTGCTTTCACTGGTCTTAACCATCATGGTCAGCCTATTCTATTTGGCTGTGCTTTGCTGTTCAATAAGTCTGAATCCTCATATGTGTGGCTTTTTCAAACTTGGCTCCATGCTATTTTGGGACGTTATCCTGTCTCCATCACCACTAATTGTGATAGTTTCATAAAGGTTGCAATAGCACGTGTTCTTCCCAAGGTACGACATCGTTTTTTTGGTTGGAGTGTCTTCAAGGACATGGAAGAGAAATTGGCTTGTGTCAATCGAATTCATCCTGCATTTGAGAGTGAGTTGAAGAAATGTGTATATGAGGCTGAGACAGTTGGAGATTTTGACTCAAGTTGGCATTCGCTGTTAGAGAGATATCATCTCATGGATAATGGATGGCTTCAGTCACTTTATAATGAACGCCATCAATGGGTGCCTATTTACATGCGGGATACTTTCTTTGGGGAGTTCTCCTCTGCTGAGGCTATTGATTCCATGGACTGTTTTTTTGAAGGATTTTTGAATGCTTCGTCTACAATTCAAATGTTGATTAGTCAATGTGACAAAGCTGCTGGTAGCTGGCATGAAAGAGAATTAAGGGCGGATATGGATACTGCCAATATCATCCCCGTACTGAAGACACGATCGCCAATGGAGAAACAAGCAGCTAATCTCTATACAAGGGAAATATTCATGAAATTTCAAGGGGAATTGGTTGAAACCCTTGCTTATCATGCCAATAAAATCGACGACTCAGGTTCAATCACGAAATATCATGTGGCCAAATTTGGTGAAGAGCACAAAGTTTATGTTGTTAACTTCAATACATTTGAGATGACAGCTAACTGTAGCTGTCAGAAGTTTGAATTTTCCGGGATTATTTGTAGGCATATATTGTCGGTTTTTAGGGCAAAAAATGTCTTCACACTTCCTTCGTTATATATTTTAAGACGGTGGACAAGAGATGCCCGAATCAATTATGGTGGTGTTGGAGATGACTGCTCTCCCAATTTTTCAAGTGACTCTCGTGAGTCAAGAACTGCTCGCTACAATAATCTTCGTGCAAAGGCTATCACATTTGTTGAAGAAGGGGCAAAATCAATACATGCTTATTATGTGGCAAGGAATGCTTTAGCGGAGGCTGCAAAGAAAGTTGCTGTGGCAAAGAGGAAAGGCGTTAGAGCCCCTCAAGGAAATAGTCAAGCTAATGGAAGTAATGCAAATCTATCCTTGGTGAGATTAACTCTGACTATCTCATATTTTACTGAATATTGTTATATCCTAGTTAAATTTGATTGAGTAGGATACTTTTAATGACTTAGATATATGCTTACTCATCCAACCAAATCAATTTCTCTGTATCAGAGACTAGTATAAGGAGTGAAGTGCGAAGTCACCATCTGAGATTAGATATCTCAATATGTTCTTCTAAAAAAAGCTAAAATCTCCCCTGACCTTGGCGTAAGAGGTAGAATGATATGCATTACGATGGTAACTATATATTTTGACCTAGTATCAGGTAACTAAGGGGTCTAGGTCCTCAAGGATTTTCTTCCTATTTGTGTGTGATTAGGATTTAGATTGTTCCAATGTGAAGGGTAAAATGATTCAACAAGATGGACAGAAGATTTATGTACTTTACACGGGAAAACTTGAAGTTGAATGTTGTAGATTATAGTGGGATGTATTGAGTTTTTTTCTCAACTCGTGGATAAATCAGTCTAAGTGACTGGAGTATACCAGAATAATGACTAATCTGATTTAGCCAATACGTGTGATGGGTTGCTCCTTGAGTTGAAAAAGCATTGGTTTCCTAGGATGATCCTGGTTTTAACATTTTGAAGTCATGAACACTGCTTGCAATATTTGTTCACAACAATAGTGGGCCCCCACATAAAATTGTTGTGAAAGGGACATGGTCACGGCAGACCAGAGGATCCTTTCCCAAGTAATGCTACTTACTTTTGTTCTTCCTTGCTTACTGAATTGGTACTATTACTTTTGACTGGCTGAAAATCTGTACATTTTGTGATCAATTCTCTAAATTAATGTTCATGATGTTAATAGAATGGAAGATAGATAAATCATTTATGGCTTTAGTAGAGGGAAGCGCTTCGTTAGGTTTTTTTAGCAGTAACAGGCTGTTAATAGAATGGATATCTTAATTCTGATATAAGCTACAACTACAAGTTTGAATTAACCAATGCGGCAGTCAATCTCAAAATGTCCTGTACAGTAGAGACATGCCAAACCGTCTCCCTCCTCCACCTTCATCCAGGCATCTCCCCTCGGAAGCTTTTTCAAGCTCAAATTTAACAGCCTGTACAAACTATTAAATTAGGCTTAGATCATCTGTTTTTGAGAAGCTCGTGAATTTGAAGGAAGAGGTTGTTAGCATGAGTTGTTGCCATGTGACATAAGGTCACAGATGGAAGTTGCTGAAAGAATAACTCATACAAAGCATAATTTGAAGGCCCTAATGGTCCGTAATTCCTTGGTTCCTATGTTTGCAAGAGTTTATCCTGCACTTTAAAAAGGCTCCTCTTGTACTGTTTTTTACTGTTGGTCTAGTAAATATCTGCTTTTGGAAACACACTTTTATAACTATTTGATCATTGTCAAGTTAATGGTTCTCTTTATGGTTTAAGTTGAAACTTTACTTTTCTTGTTATTATTTTTTTCTTGTTTCTTCAAAGGCATACATATCATTCTGTTGCACTTGGAACTTACATGTTGGGGTTTTTAATGGGAAAGCTTTAACAGGTGTCATACCCAGGGCACGTTCCTGAAGCTATTACTAAAACTTTGTGAATAACAGAGTCAAACAAAAGTTCCGGATGAGTTTGGACAGTTAGAATGATGGATGCATGGATCATCCTGTAATTGGTTAAGGATTTTTTTTTTTTTTTAACAGAGGTTTATTTTTTAAAGTTTCTGCAGAAAGATCTTAGTTCAATCTTTGGGAGTTGACAGAGGTGAAATTGTAATGATATCAATTATCGAAAGCTGTTCCCTTTAGATATAACTAATCCTACAAAAGAAATTTTTGAAAATTTCTATTGGGTATAAGAAGTCTAATTAACATTTATGATGTGTTCCAAATTATTGGCGTAAATTTTTCTTGATGTATATATTTTTAATTTTTTTGTTTTTGTGGATTGGGAAGGCTGTAATTCAGGAGACTCCCTTTGTATGTCCCGGACCCTCTTCTATAAGGACCTAGTGCTGTGTTTCCTTTCAGGACCAAAAGGAGAGGAGAATCAGTGAACTGACGGCTGAGTTGCAGCGCACTAATCAGCGATGTGAGGCTTACCGTGGAAATCTTCTTGCTTTGTTGAGAGACATGGAAGACCAAAAGTTGAAGCTATCAGTAAAAGTACAAAATGCACGACTTAGCTTAAAGGAGTAGGTAACCACTTTTATTTACTCTAGATAACAGGAGAACAGTGTAGAAGTCCCCAACATAAGCTTCTTCATCTTTTATTGAAAGTTTGCTTGTGAATTCACCAAAAAAAAAAAAAAAGAGGTTTGCTTGTGAGCAATTTTTCTGTCTAGTGCTTACAAGATTTTTTTCTTTTCAGTTTATGAAATTGACTCAGTTAAAAATCAAAATGAGCAACTTAATTTAGTCTTTTTAGTAAGGTGCTGAAGTTTGACATGACAGCTTTAAAATGATGAAAAATGCATGGGAAGTAGCTGTGAATTAGGATCACAGACATTGAGCTTCTTAGTCTTTGAAAAATGCTGTCTCTAAGGGCATACTGTGTCATATATCTCGTCAGTAGATCATATTCTCGACTCTGACCTTTAGCCAAAAAGCTTCTTCAGAAATGATCGTATATGCATGCTGATGGTTCTGTCCTTTTGGGTGGGACCGTGGGAAGGGTGATGTGATGGTTGAGAAAGAAGAAGAGGGTTCTGCAGTGATGGCTATTCTTTTCGTTCCTTGATGGTCTCGAGGCGGAAACATGATTGGTGGAATTGAATCGAAGCTCTAACTATTTGGATCTCTTGTTTTCACGATGGTTGTTAGCTCCTAAATTTTTAATTGTTTGGCACGACTTGCTTGACAGCCTCAAATTACCTTTCTCAGTAATACTGCACATAAATGGTGTCAGTGTTACTTTCTAGTAGTACTGACTTTTGTACTAAAGAATAATGCACTTAGAACAGCGGTTCTGATACTGGAAATTGTACAGCTAGCACTAATGCAACGGGGATACTCTCTACATCTCTGAAGAGTTCTGAATTTTTTTGGAAAAGAGTTTAACGTAATTTAGGGATTTTGGTTAACAAAATGGACAGCCAAAATGGACATGGAGCCCTATACTTCTGCTCTAGTTACAAAATTACTTATGTTGTTGAGCTGGACGGAAGAATCCACGGACTATGGTATATAATGCACCCAATTGTCATGGAAAATGGGCAAATATAACGAGAATGCGGTTAGGCTATTGTAGGATTTATGCAAAGCATATGATATATAATGTATTCGAGTCCTGTTTGGCAATTGATACCTTAGTTGTAGATACAAAACGTTTCATTCTTAATACACAAAAACAGTCTCTCATATGCTAATGCCATTTTTCGTGCAGTAAACATTGTAGATGCATATTCCTGGCAAGCTTTTCCTCTTTGTGCTAATCTTTTTGAGCCCTCTGCCACCACCAGCTCCAGTGCCTCCAACAATGATTCTGTGTTAGGTGCAAACATGAACCCGAATTCGTCGTTTACAACAATTGTGCCCTTGATGCTAGGAAACCTTGACGCCATCACTGGCTTTCCACTCATCATGGCCTCCATGAGGGTGAGATCAAGCCCCTGAGGCCGAAGCGTTGGGTTGACGAAAATGTCGATAGAGTTATAAAAAGCGCGTAATTCTGAAGGATCCATTGACCCCAAAGCAATTACTTGAGGCCCTAAATCTCTATATCTTTGCAGCCATGGTCCTGAACCTACAACCACCAAGTAGACATCTTTGTGTTTTTGCTTGAGTCTGGAAAAAGCCTCATACAGTAATGGATGCCCTTTGTCCTTTACTAGCCTCCCTGCGATGCCAAGAACTAAACTTGCATTCTTTGGCACCCCAATTTTGGACTTAAAAGCATTACCTAGTTGGAGATCTTGTTGGTAATCATCCTCATTGACTCCATTGACAATAACATGTACTCGTCTGCTTGGAATTTGGTATACATCCCTTAACATCTCGCCGCAGCTATCACTTATCGCGACATGATGAGCATAATCGTGAAAGAATCTGATCTCATTTATGACTTTTGGGATCATCCCTTGCAGGCTATCGTTGAAGGCAGGAGAAATCGGCTCGTTTGGCTGTCTGGTCAGATCTTGATATATGCTAGATTGCACGCTTTCGAGGGCTATGCCATGCCACGACACGGCTAGGTTTGAGACACGCCTGGCGACGTGGAAAGGAAGCGCGACGCTTTCTGAGTGAATCACGTCAAACGGTCTGTTGCGATCATTGTTGTTCTCTTCTTCTTCGTATTGCTCCCATGCTTTGTTGTATCGCCATTTCCCCGGTTCGCCCTCGTGCCAATGAATCAATGGCGCCAAAGGTGGACTAGCTCGCGATTGTATACCGACATTTTGCTTCGGCTCGTCGTTTGGTGGAGAAGTAAAGACATGAACTTCGTGTCCGCGCTGTGCTAGAGTGGTGTGCAAGGTGTGTGCATGGCGCTCCATGCCGCCGGGAACGGAACTCGTAGGCCATTTTCTAGTAAAAACAGCAATCTTCAGCGAGACTGGTGGTGGAATATCATTTTCAAACCTTAGACGATTCCAAGCAAATTCGGCGAATCGAAGATCACCTGACCATGACTTTTGGGTTGATAAATTGGTGCAAATGGAATTGGTAGGGGTGTGGAGTAGAAGCAGAGCAGGGATTGTGAAAACAATCACAAAGCAAAGAGTTGTGGCTAGGCTAGATTGAAGGGAGAGGAGAGGTCTTTTAGGCTTGGTTAAAGCCATGAAGAAGGCTAATATGGAAGATTGGAATTGATGGATTTAGGCATTAAAACATAACAATTTCTTTTGTTGTTGTTGTTGTTGTTTGGAAAGGCCTATTAATTTGAGCATATTCAAAGCGTTGAAAAGTTGAAAGCTGAAAAGGTAAGCAAAGTGGAAAAAGTTAGGCACGATTACAAGCAAGTGCAAAAGTGTGCGTTATTTTTCTGGAAGTTTTCCACTTCTTACGTTTTTCTACACTCACTTTCAGAAGAAAAGTTGCTGTGTAGCGTGTAAACTTCAGTGAGGAACTCCCTTTTTTGAAATGTCACCATGTATGACTAGCATTAATTCCTGGATTTGTGCTCTCTAATCACAGGTTTTTTGCTTTCATCTCTACGCTATTATTTTTAAGTTTGGTGCATGTAATCAAATTGCGTGAGATTTTGCTACGTGTTGTTTGCAAAGCTAAAATTAAAAAAAAAAAAAAAGAAAAAAAAAGAAGAAGAGATATATGCACATTAGCCGTATCAAAGTTGTAGAGGTTTAATTTTGGTGGTACCCAAGCATCCACGGAGGCCAATAATTAACATAAAGGAAATACTATACTGTATGCGATTGACGAATGTTTTTCTATATATATATATATATATAGAGATAGGATATAAATATGAAAAAAATAATATTTCAAATTTAGGTGTACTTCATCGAAACCGGACTTTCTTCTCTTTCCTTAAGTTGCCAAGTGAAAATACAGAGCAAGTGGATAACTAATTAAAAAATGCCCGCACATTATGTGGTACAATCAAAGATTTAACCTCCTTGATTGTACCCAAAAAAAAAAAAAAAAAATACTTACACAGTTACTTATCATTAGTTATGGTAAACTGCTTAAATAGTTCTTTACATCTGGCAAAAAACTTATTTCGGTCATCTACATATGTATTACACAAATTAGTCCTTTTTACTTTTTTTTACCCATTTATATTTGGGGGTTCTCGGGTTGACCATTTCTTAGACAAGTTAATAGGGGTATTTTTGGTAACTTTTAATTCTCAAATTTTTAAAAATACTAAAAAATCAAAGATTGCTTAAAATAATATTAAACATTTTATATTAGATTTATATTAATTATTAAAAAAATTTAAAATTTATAATTAAAAATTTTTTACAAAACAATTTCCAAAAATTTGAGTTATTATTATTTTTATCTTGTGGGCTCCACACGTGATTTCTTCTTTACCCTTGGTCTGTAATTTTTTTCTTCTCTCTTCATCAAACACCCAACCCAATTCCCAAACCCTGTAAACCTTAAAAAAAAAAAAATTGGGTTGGATGTTTGATCAGAGAGAGAAGAAAAAATTATAAACCAAGGGTAAAGAAGAAATCACGTGTGGGACCCATAGGATAAAAAAATAATAACTCAGATTTTGGAAAAAAAATATTTAATGAATTTTAAATTTTAAATTTTTTCATTTTTTAATAATTCATTTCAAAATTAATATAATATGTTTAATAATATTTTAATCAATTTTCAGTTTTTTAGTATTTTTAAAAATTTGAAATTATAAATTACCGAAAATACCACTGTTGACTTGACCAAGAAATGGTCAATCGGAGAATCCTCAAATGTAAAGGATAAAAAAAAAAAAAAAGTAAAAAGAACTACATGTGTGTAAAATACATATCTAAAGGACCAAAGCATGAATTGCTAATCTAAAGGACCAAAATAAGATCAACACTTACTTGGCCAGAGTGGTAAGGTGCTTTGGTTTCCTTAAGCGAGTTCTTGGCTTCGAGTCTCGTGAATGAAAAGAGCAATATTGGGAGAGCTTTCTCTCCGAAAGAAGACAAGCTTAACTCGGTGCGGATTAGTCTAAGTGCAATACACTTAGGATACCGTGCACAGTATGAAAAAAAAAGGACCAAAATAAATTTTTTTGTCAAATGTAAAGGACTATTTGAGCAGTTTACTTTTAATTATGATCTAGATTCAAACTTGGACATGGGTATAGAGCGATGATTAAGATATTTATTGGGAGAGTTTTATTTTCTAAAGAGGATCTCCTCCACTCGAATCTAGCTTAGTTGGAGCGATTATTTTGAACACACAGTGTGTAATATACTTAAAAAAAGACTTACGCATTATTAATTAGCAGCGCATATGTTCGATCAAGGAGAATATTCATTTTATCCATACCAATAGAAGGCTTTCAACTAGTATGAATACATTTGGAAGCTAAAAGACCAATCTATTCACTAAACCCTAGTGTTGTTAAGCTCGGCTCGGACCGGCCGGTCGAACCGGATTAACCGAGAACCGAATCCTAAACCGAGCCGAGTAGATAGTAAAATCGCCTGTCTGAGACTCGGTCAAAGACGGTCAAAAATCCAGTTGAACCAGAAATCGGTCAAAACCGAATCAAACCGGGTTTTGACCTTTTGGGTTGATTTTCAAAATTTTTTAAAATTTTTTTACACTACTTTTGAGGTCTCTTCAATTCTGATTTTTTACATTTAGTCTCCAATTAGATCTTTTATGTTTTTAATGACCCATAACTTGTATATTTGTGAGATCAAACTCTTAAATTCAAATTTATAAGTTTAAATATTTATTTTAACCATCCAAGCCACATCCTACACACTAAATTGAGTAAAAATTATTATTTGAGACTAAAGTAAAAAATTACGGACTAAATAAATAAATCAATATTTATCATTTTAAACTATAGTAAACAAAAAAATTATAACCATATTAATTGACTAAACATACAATGTAAATTTTTAATGATAAAAGTCAATTGTGCATCAAATTTATTAATTTTTAATCATAATTAAAGTTAATTAAACTAATCATATATGTAATGTCATAATTGTGTTCCATAAAGAAAAATAATTTTGAGAACTTTGAAACACTAATTTGATTAGAATATTGACAAATCTATATAAAATTTATAAAATTTTATTAAAAATATAATTTTTAATTTATTAATATTTATTACATCATGATAACATCATTCGAATCGACTCCCAATTTGCCCTGAGTCGACCTTTGATTCGCTCGACTCCTAACCAATGCCGAGCCGAGCTCCAGTTCTAGCCTGACAACACTTCAAAACCCCTCAACAAAAAGAGAGGAATGGTCGAATGCTCAAGTCAAAACCAAATGGAGGAGAAACACGCCCAACGGCCCAAGTGACACTGGCCATATTCAAGTGGTATATGTCCCACAGTTTCTTGATATCGACCAGGAGAATTTGTAGTTTTTTTTCGTAGTTTTTTTTTTCTTTTTTCCCCTCATGGAGGAAAAAAAACTCCTCCTTTTTGACCTGCTTAGTTGCTCATTTTTCAAATTGAACACTTAAAATATGATTCCATTTATTCCCATAACAGATTCGGTATACCTAAAATTTTTGCAAACTCGAAAACACATGCATACACGTTTTAATACATATACTTCAAGCACATCAAAACAAATGAACCGTGTTTTCCTATTCACGTAATAACTATATACACGATTATAATTAATTTAAGACTAACAATTCTTTCATTATTGATAAAATTATTAAAATCAAAATGTCTTTCACTAAAGCGTGTAAATACATAAATTACGATGACACTTGTATGTTACACATCATGTCTAAACATAAATCAATTAGAAACCTATTCATTCTTTCTTTTTCCTCACAATATATCACACGGCATTATCAAAACGACTTATTTGGAACTCTATTCAACAAATGCAACTTTCCTATTTGTTGCCCCCCTCTTCCTCTATGCTAGTAACTTACGCGGGCAAATTCAATTCTTACCGCGTGTGTAATTAATTTTGTGTCATGCGTTACTGAATGAATACCAAATATTCCTCACTATGGATGGAGAGAAAATTCATACTACTTAGTTACTTTCTTGAGCGAATCTACTAACTTTAAGAATTCTAATTAAGAAGGTTTAACAGCAAGCGCATGTGATAAACATTAAATTTAAACGAGAATTTCCCGACAATCCCAATTTTAATTCTTATTTAAAAAAATATAGACAAAGATTCCAAATATAGTTTCACGTTTTATCATGATAATGTCTCTCATTCGATGAAACCGATAAGAGACTTTAAAAGAAAACAAAACATAAAATATGAGTGTCTGTCAAATTATGTGTTCCAGCAAATCAAGAAATGTAGCAATCGATTGCATTAATACTAAATAAAGAAATAAACAACTATTCTATCGCATGAAGCACCATTCGTATGATTTATTTAGAATTTACTTGATATTTTCACTAAGTTAGACTTTTATGTATGTATTTTCACAAAAATATAGAGGCCAGTTTTGTCTCCTCCCTAAGGTACATCTACATATAACTCCTGGAGGTCAATGATGAAATATAAATAATCCACGGTAATTAGTTTCTTCACAAAACACTTCTGTTTTTTGAGGTAATTCTATTGAGGTCTAGGTTTCATTGATCGCAAAAAATGTCGATAAGATTTTTTTTTTTTTTAATTCCCAAAAAAGTTCAAGCCTTTTGTGGTGAAGTTGTTTTTAACAACTATTCATAGCCATCTTACTATATGATAAAATCAAATTGCAAAAGTGTGGAGAAATCTCCTATCGGTTCTCAATTTTTTATCTTTTCTTTTTTCAATATATCATGTACCGGTGTCCAAAGTTAGTTCTCAAATTTCATTTTGTTTTTGTTAAGAAAACAATACATAGCAGATTACTTTGTATAATAATTGGATAAAAAGGAGCATATTACTAATCCCTTTTAATGTTTTGCGTTTTAATTAGTTTATAGTCAACTTAATAGATTTATTTCCTTGGCGAAGAACACATGGAAGATCTATACAAAAGGAAGTTGCAAAGGATCAAAACGGATGAAGTAGAGAAGAATTCCTTGCAGATTACTTCACAATTGAAAAGCATCAGATACAGGAACCATCTCCAGAAATTCATCATTATTGTGCTCGTATTTGGGACAACCCTCGGAATTCTGACTTCTCCCACCATTTACGTACAAGAAAATTTTTCACTAGCCGTTTCTCAGTGAGTTGTTATTCAATTCCATGTTAGTTTTTACTTTTCGATGCGTAAAATCTTCGTTTGTTATATCTATGTTTGTTATATAAAAGCCTTATTCTATGAGAAAAATGATATGATTTCGAAAGTGGAAAAAATTACATTTTTTCTTAGTAAAGTAGAAAATGATAGTACTTATTATAAGATTTGCTAAAATGTCTATGAATCCTTACATTTAAAAAGTTTGTGTAATGTATAGGCTTATTTTTATTTATTTATTATTACTATTATTATTATTTTTTTTTGTTAACAAAGAGTAAAGAAATGACTGAAAAATTGAAAGATTATTATACTTTTGTTGTTGTTGTTGTTGCTGTTTGCTTTTAACTTAAGCAGGCCTGATATTGTTACCAGGTTATTGGGTACATCAGATCTTAGGTATGTGTCAGACTTGGAAATCAAGTGGGATGATATTTCACATGTTCTAGAGCAATTATTACAAAAGGATGAAATCCATGGAGTTGGGCTCCTCAATTTCAACACTACAGAAATCAGTCAATGGAAGAAGCTGGTCCCTTCTGCAAATCACACATTGCTACAGCTAGAGAATGCTGAGAAGAACCTAACTTGGGATTCCCTGTACCCAGAATGGATTGATGAAGAACAAGTGAATGAGGTCCCTAGCTGCCCTACATTACCCAAACTCGAAGTTCCGATAAACCATCTGGATCTTGTAGCAGTTAAGCTTCCTTGTTCACAAACCAAGAATTGGATGAGAGATGTTCCAAGGCTACACTTGCAGCTTGCGGTCGCTGGTTTGGTAACATCGGCGAAAGGCCTGTTCCCTGTCCACATATTGTTCATCACCAAGTGTTTTCCGGTACCGAATTTGTTCCCTTGTAATGGCCTGGCTGGACATGTTGGCTTTGCCTGGTTGTACAAGCCAAATATCAAGTTAGCCACTGAAAAATGTCAGCTACCACAGGGATCCTGTGAACTTGCAGTGCCACTTGGAGTAAGAGGTTAGTTCCATCCTGTTTCATTTTGTCATAAGGATACTACTTAGTACCTACTATCCGCATGTCTGTCTTAAAATAAGAGTCATGTTTGTCAAACAGCGCAAGATTTACCAGTGAAAAAACAGCGGGAAGCATACGCGACGATCCTGGTTGGAGCTCAGCTGTTTATCTGTGGAGCTATAGTCGCGGCGCAGAGTATCCGAATGTCTGGATCGACGAAGGATCTGGTGGTTCTTGTTGATGAGAAGATGGATAAGTATCACAAGAATGGACTTCAGATGGCAGGATGGGAGGTACGGACCATAAAGGGAATCCGAAATCCCAAAGCTCGGAAAGAAGCTTACAATGAGTGGAACTACAGCAAATTCAGACTCTGGCAATTGACAGACTACGACAAGATCATTTTCATTGATTCTGATTTGCTCATTCGTAGGAACATCGATTTCTTGTTCACGATGCCGGAGATCACAGCCAGAGGCAACCATGGTACCCTTTTCAACACCGGCGTGATGGTGATTGAACCATCAAATTGTACCTTCCAGTTGCTGATGGACCATTTATATGAGTTTGAATCATACAATGGTGGAGATCAAGGATACTTGAATGAAATATTTCCATGGTGGCACCGGATGCCAGAACGCCTGAATTTCCTCAAAAACTTCCTTGCCTATCAGAGCGACGAAGTGAACCAAAAGAAAATCCAGCTCATTGCAGCAGAACCGCCAATACTTTATGTCATTCACTATTTGGGATTTTACAAGCCCTGGATGTGCTCCAGAGACTACGACTGCAACTGGAATGTCGGGAAACTGCAGGAGTTTGCCAGCGATGATGCTCACAGGATCTGGTGGAGAGCACACGACGCGATGCTGGAAAAACTGCAAGGATACTGCATGCTTAAAGCTAGACAGAGAGCACAGTTGGAATATGACAGAAGAGAAGCAGAGAAAAGAAACTACACAGATGGACATTGGAAAATTGTGATCAAGGATCCACGCTACACAAATTGTAGCAATCTGCAATGCAATAAAATTTCGGAGAAAATGTTGTGGCGTTGGGGTGTAAAAGATTGAACATATTTCAAACCTTAAAGACCAATGTAGTCAAATTCATTCATTCATTTTTGTTTTTTTCTCAGTTTTTGTATGAAACTCTGACACTGCTTGTTTGGATTCACAAAATTTCAAGATCGAACATTGTCAGACCAGATACAGTATGTCCATCTTCAATCAGAATCCAGGATTGATTTTGTTCCTTTAGAAGAACATTTAGATCAAATTAGGGGAGTCTTTCAAAGATATAAAATTCCTATGGCTGTGAAGAGGAGAAGAATCATGATCAATAGCTGCAAAATGCTATTTCTCTTGATATTTAACACGCTAATTCGCATTGTAAACTAAGATGACACCAGTGATTTTGTACACTTAAAATGTCTGTTCACATCCCTAATACAACGTTGTTGTCTGTTCACATCCCTAATACAACGTTGTATAAATCCTACTCTTCTCAAATCGATCATAAGCGGGTCGAGTTCTCAAGAGCAACAGCACGCTTGAAACTAGGCCTATAACAGAGATACATCCCCACCATACAAAGGTATAAAAATAGCATTTCCTACCCATACATACTACAGACTCAGTTACTGTGCTTAGGCCTGAACCAGAATTGGCGTCATAAACAACTGCTGCTAGGAAACCATAAAGAAGCGATCCAACTGGAATGTTTGTAATTAAAATGTTGTGATTAACACCTGCACTGCAAGGTCCAAAAAGCTCGGATGTTATGGAGACTGCAGCAGCAAAAATGAACCCAGAGCTCAATCCAATCAAAGATGTTCCTACTTCAAGTGCCATTTCACTGCCCGTTGCAGCCAGCAAAAAGAATGCAATCGGTGTAGGCAGCAATGCTACAGCTAGCCATCCTGTCCTTGCAAAATAGAATTTCCTGCACAGAAGAAAGCTTCTGTTATCAAAACTGGAAGACAGCAAGTAAAGGCCATTGTCCAATTCCTATATTACTTCTGTATCAAAAAGATAGTCTACTTTGTTGAACTGAAATAGAAGATTATTATTATTATTATTTTTTTAAAAAATAGAGCATCATATATGTGGGCAAGTAAGACGAAATTAGAGTTATAATGCACAAAACTTACGTCCTGATGAAGTCCGGTACTGCTGAAAGTAGGCGGCCAAAGAAGGAGAATGATGAATATAATGTTAAAAGGACTGAAATCCTTGATCCCTGTCCAAGAGACTGAGCTATCTGGCCTAGGTTGTTGCTATAGACCAGTCCAATCGTACCGCCACAAAAGTATGCAAAAAAGTATAACCAGAAATCCAGCCTACGGAGAAGCATTCGAGCATTGTGCTCTTCCCCAAGCATTACCAGCTGATCCTTCTCCATCACACTCTCACAACATCGCCCTGTTGATTCGGCACTTTCTTGTCTCACAAGTCCTTTGTTTAGGCTGCCATCATCAGAATACAGCGATCCATTTCTCAAGCTATTGTCCTGACTGAGAAGTGATTTGTGCAACTCGAGGTCATCGTGATCAATTAGTATGAAACTGGAGCTCTCCAGGCGAAAGCTCGAGTAAATGTTTTGATGAAACCAACCCCTCGCATAGACAATACCAGGGATACCTAAAGGAAGTAAAAGTAAGAAGATGGCACCCACAAATAAAGCACGAGCAGTGCTTGAATCCGATGAATGTAATAAGAGGAGGTATACGCCGGTGATTACAGCCACAAAGTTCAGAATGATGAATATCAACTGATCACGCTTTACAGCGTCCGAAGGGAGAGTTTCAACTGTATCCACAGGAGGTTGACGAAGAATCGGGATGAGCGCTACAAGTGATGTTAATAACGGGATGAATGCATTGAGAAGAAGGTAGAATGCACTTGATGAAGGGTTTATTGCATTTGCTGCGAGGTTGTATAAGGCCGCGCTCACGCCATTAAAGCTAACCGTTAGAGCAAGTGCAAGGGGTCTATTAGAAGGGAAATTCTTTATGCAAAGAACAAAACACACTGTATTGAACCAGCAGATGCTGCATCCTGCCAAAAGGCACAGTAAGAATATCTGCCATAACAGCACAACTAATTTTAAGTTAGGATTAACTCATTCAGCAAAATTTCAGGATAAAGAATCACAATGAATTGGAGCATCAAGTTAAGGTTCTTCTACTCAGATAGTTTACTTCCAGAATATCTATGTTTATGCAATGAACTTTAAAGAACTCGCCTAATTTGAAAACAGAAAGGCCTCCTTAAGAGTAAAATTTTGAATGTTATGTATGATTCAAAAGGGCATTTCAGAAGGTTTTCTGTATTTCAGACACGAATTTGATCAAATTCTGGAAACCGATTTCCATTTGTTACAAAATATTATTTTGAGATGGATAGAACACCCAATAATAAATCAGCGACTACTGCTAGTAAAGAAATAACTTTTAATCTTTTCTACGAATACAAGTACTGTGGATCAACGAAATGAGACAGTTTTGATGAGCTATTTGCAACGGTTGGATATCCTAAAAGACACAAGCTCTAAAAAGAGAATGTTGACCTTGTTTACATTCTGCGATCAGCAATCCCTAAAAATGGAAAATAAGGTTTGCCCTCTATAACTCTATTGTTGGTTGACAGGTTATCTGAACGTCAAATGTAGGGGGAAAAAAAACAAAATAAAAGAAAGGTAGACAATATTAGGCCTGAGATTTGAATAGGAAGGTAAGCCGCCATGTCTGCTCAGCCAATTAAATTATGAAGCAACCCACTTTGATTTGATTAGTTGTTTTTATTTATTTATTTTTAATAGACCTTTGATTAGTTACTTATTACCTGCTCACGCTTTTGTAGCTCTTTATAAGAAGTTTGACAATTTATTCAACCTTCAACTTAAGTTTGGTATGACTGTTGTCAACAGTCAACGCATATTTTCAACCAAAATGGCACCTTTTAATTCCATTTCAATTACTACCTCCGTCCCAAAAAAATAGTCCACATTGAGTTTTGAGTTTTGTAAGTACAAAACTCAAAACTCAATGTGGACTATTTTTTTGGGACGGAAACTCAAAACTCAATGTGGACTATTTTTTTGTGACGGAACAAAACTCAAAACTCAATATGGACTATTTTTTTGGGACGGAGGTAGTATTATCTAGTAATCCGCAAATAATTTTAGTACATATGACTGACCATATATGAGGTGTTAAAAGGAAAAAGCTCAAGGAAGCCTCACCTGATAAAACTTACTCCGTCTGTCCTTTCCACCGATTAAAATAGACTCATTTCAATTTATCTACAAATTAGCAAGACTAACTGAAACAATTAATTATAGTCGATTTTTCTCCGCAAACAAAAAAAGGAATCCAAATAATGGACATATGTCGAAAATGATTAAAATGTGAACAAAACATTACAATTTGAATCCCAAAATCAAAGGGGTAAATTTCATACAACTTGAATTGTTGGATAAATTGCAGCCGCACAACTTTAATCAAAGGGGTAAATTTCTTACTTTTATTCTCTCTCACAATCAGAATGCCACCCAAAAAGATGAATGAGAAATGTGGGGCCGCATGAAACCAACATTTCTGTTTTATTTCTTATAAATAAATAAATTGAACCCCGTTCTCCAAAAAACAATAAATTTTGAATAAATAAATAAAAAATTGAACACTCCAAAATTTGTATGGAACGCCTCTTGGGGCAAAGAATACGGGGCTGAGACCAAAAGAACTGTCAAATCCAAATATTATCTTACTCTCCGTGGTTAGAAATAGATTCTGCTCTTTTAATCAACCACTATTCAGATATTTTACATGGTAACATGATTTAAAAGATAACGGGACTAAGACAGTATGATTGACATAAATATAATTTTAGTGTATATATAATCATAGAAAGCTATATATATAATCATAGAAAGCTATGAATTACGTAGATTAATAACGATAATTTAAAATTAAATCACCAACTTCTGATTTATACTCTCTCGGATTCATGAAATCGAGCAAAACAAACACAAAAACAAGATGAATTATGTGATCAACATCAGAAATTCATGAAGACTTCTGAAATAATTTTCAGTATTTCATTTTTGACAATATTGGATTTGATTTATTTCAAACTTTAATGCAACCTCAAAAGTCAAAATCACAAATAAATGCGGAATAACAGTGAAAATCTCCAATAATAATACTTTTTATTCATTACAAGTATTATTATTATTTTTTAAAAAAAGATCTCACCCGCGCGCAATTCACGTTTACTAATTTCCAAACAGTTTGTACTTTTTTAACTTTAAGAAAAAAAAAATACTACAAACTAAAAAAACACTGAACAGAAATACAGTATATGTATCGATGATGGATGGTTACAACCACCATTCTTCCATGCCAAGAAACTAGTGGTGTTGGTTTTTTTCTTTCATTTATTATTTATTTTGTTGTTTTCGTATATTTATACATTTATTATTATTAATTCCGTTGTTTTCGTAACTAAGAAAAATGAAATAAACCGGAAAAAAAAAGAAGAAAACATTAAAAGATGAAATAAGAGAGTTTTAATGGGACGGAAAAGGAATTAAACGAAGAAAAAGGAAAGAAAGAAAAAAAAAAAGGAAACTCACCACAAAATAAGGCAGAGTGATGACATTCTCAATGAGGAGCCACTGAAGGCCGTAGCCGACGAGACCCATGAAAGCCGCCATGAACATAACGAGCCACAACGGCAAATACATGAGAGCCAAGCCGGATGACCAGCCGAAGGCCTTCCCCAAGTCGGAAGCCGTGGCCAGATAATTCAGCTGCACTTGGGAAACCCCTAACACCCGTTTCATCGCCGACGAGTACGCCGAGAAATCGAAATTCGTCCCCGTGAACGCCTGAATCCATATTACCGCCACCAGGATCATCCACTTTCTGGACTGACCCGCCATTTATTAGTTATTATTACTGTTATTTATTGTTATTCGATTTGAAATTGAATTTTAAGATTATGAAATCGAAAACGGAGAAACTCAAGGAGGAGGAGGAGGAGGAGGAGTCGCCGGGATTAGGAAGAAAATTCAGGCGGCCGGAGAGGCTCCGTAAAGAAGAAGAAGAAGAAAGAAAGAAGCGTTTGTTTGTTTTTCTGTTTTGGTTTTTTTGGGGCTGAATAAAGAGTTTCTACGTGGCATTATTTATATACGTTCATACGATTTTAATCTTAGGATGCGGGACATGAAGTGGACAAATGGCATTCTTTTTTTCTTTTTTTTTTTCTTTTCCCCCTTTTTCTTCTTTTTTGAGAATTGTTTTTGTTTTCTGAATAAATTGAACTGTAGTCAATTTTGAATTTTTGATTTGATATGGTGAAAAAATTATTAATATAGGGTTTGAGCATGATATGGTGTTGTAGATTGGATATGATGTTAATTATTGGGTTTCTTCCCCCTGCTTACATCATTAGATGGTCAGCATCTTCTATAATGCATAAACAACAACATAATATTTATGATGTCTCATGATGATAATAGTAATTTAAAAACTAAATAAATTCGAGAAGTTGAACCAATTAATCTCACAAAGTGAACAATTACTACCATTATAATCATTTTTTAGATGGCATCAAGTTCGTCATTTTCCTAAAAAAAAAATAAAGAGACTAAATTCACTTAATGTTGAACTATTTTTTTAAGACACATGTAGAGAATTAATTCACTTAAAGTGACGAAGAAGATAGAGTTATTTATGACATATAATCTTGTATTTTGTGAGTCATGCTTAATTCACTACTATAAAAAAAAAAATAGTGGTTTGCTTCTTAGTTTTAACTTTTAAGTTAACAGTAAAAAAAGAAAGAGTAAAAAGAGGTTGAAATTTGATTATGATTTTTTTCAGAAATTTCAAGCGTTCTTCAAATTTGTTGACGTACGTACCAACTATGAGTTTAGAAATGTTGGAATATAACTAACTTCACCTCTATTTTCTCATAATTCAAAAGGGAACTTGCGATTTTTTGGGTTATTTTGAATTTGGTTCATTTTTTCCTAAAAAAAAAAAAATTAAAGAGACGAAAAACATTTTGAAGTTGATTCCGAAATTTATACGTTATACAGCATGGACAAGTGGCAATTAGATTGTGAAATGGAAAGGGGAATTGGTGTTAATGAACTGGTTTGTTCGTATTAAGATCAGTTAGGTTGGCAGCATGTGAGCTCTTTCTTGGAGTTTTGTTTACTAATGAAACTTCTTTTAGGAACACTGAATAATACAGTTCGGATACAGGTTATAGACTCGTATCAAGTTTTGAAACGCCAATCTTTTATATACGGAGTTTAGTGATTTTCTAGAGATATTCTTCTGGCAGTGGCTAGTAAGTTTTTTCTTTTTATTTTTGTTTGGGTTAAAATTGTATTCGAGTCAAAATTTATTGGTAATAAGTGAAGTGATTTAAATATTTTTTTATACATGTGTAAATAATTCTAATTGTTTAGTGTATGTGTATCTCTCAAAATATTGCATTTGTACATCTTATTATGCACTGTTACATGCATTTATATTCGTGGGATTTACCAATATTTATTGTTATTACATATGGACTATGGAGAGAAATTGGGTCGGGTCCAACTATACTTATTTAATGTAAAGTGTAACCTATATAAGATTATACTCGAGTTCTGACCAATTGATTTTAGTTCATTTTTTACTGCACTAATTTATTAGCCAATTATGATTCTCTACTAATTTTATAAAAGGTAATTAGTGTTTGTACTTTGTACATCCCACTGATTGAACGTACGTACAGTCGACATGGGAAGACTCTTGCTTTCCTGTACAAGAGTCCAAGGTAACAATTAAGTAATCAATATTCTTATTATAATATTCCTTAATTATCAAATGATTAAGGTAACCAACAAACAAACAAATGGAGTTGTCCAGCGGCGAAAAGCCGAAAACCACTTCATCATTTGCATGCAATATTATTAGAGATGCCTTCCCCAAGTTTTTTTCCCCAATACCAAGTGCACTAGACAATGATGTACTAATACCATGTGAAATAATTATGGGCTCTTCTCAAAGAGGAGAACCATGTGCTAAACTACGTAATTAAGAATTTAAGCAGATATAGCCACTTACGTCTCCTACTATGGGTGAGTACAAATATATGACGTGGCATCTTTAGTAACAATACGTGGATTATAAGGAGGTAGTATTTTTTTTTTTTTAAGAAAAAGAAATTTACATAGACTTCATATAAATTTACCCACCACAATGCACCCTTGGACAAGGATTATGTGTTTGTGCAGGTCTGAACATGGGCAATTATGTGCTTGTTGTTTGATCGTTCTCTTAAAAATGGCATTTCATTCGTTGTTGTAAGTTTGATATGCTGAGGGCTTATACGCACAACCTCCCAAAAGCCCAAAAAAAAAAAAAAAAAAAAGAAAAAGATATAAATTACCTCTTAAATATAAATTTCAATACAAAATAAATATTATCCATGTAACTTTTTAATTTACATTAAAAATTATATTTACACAACTGACCAGATTTTGACTGTTCCAGATCCAAGTGGTAGTATTAGGTCCTTTCGTTATTGTTCTTTGGAAATGGTCTAGTTTAGCCCATTGCTCAAACAAAGTTTTTACGCGATTCCTATCTACTAAAATTTTTACTTCTGGTTCCGATGAATGCATAAACATTGAGTCCTTCTATTTCTGGACAACACATACAAAGAAACCTACGAGTAGTCAAATCATTCGTAAAAGATCGTATTATATAGTCCTATAATAAATTAGGTTTAACAATTACCTCAACAGAAGCTTGTTCAATTGTCGAATCTACATCATCAATCTTGAAATATTTATGCATCTCAGCAGGGAACTTCATGTTGTTGAAGATATAAAATGTTACCTTTTCTCCATCAAACTGCAGTGTCATCGTACCTTTTCTAGCCTCAATTATAGCATCACATGTTGCTAAAAAGGGCCTGCCTAGAATAATAGGTACATCCTTATCCTTCTCCATATCCAAGACAACAAAGTCAGCTGGGTAAATAAATGGCCCAATCTTCACAAGAATGTCATGCAAAATGCCCTTAGGATATGCGAGGGATTTATTATTTAGCTACAAGATAATGTTAGTTGGAATAAGAATATCTTCAACACTCGAAGCATTGAAAGCAGATAACGACATTAAATTGATACTTGCTACGAAGATCTAGCAAAACTTTTCAAATGTATTGTTACCAACAGTACAGGGAATAGTGAAACTCCATAAGTCCTTGAGCTTTGCTGGCAGTTTCTTCAAAATGGCTGCACTGCATTCCTTGTTCAGAGTAATGAATGATGAGTCATGAATCCTTAGCTTGCTTGACACAAGCTCCTTTATATGCTTGAAATATTTTGGCATTTGCTTTAGAGCATCAATCAATGGAATGTTGATGTGAAGACTCTCCAGGTTCTATATGAATTTGGTGATAGCTGCTTTTGAATTCTTTCTCTTGGACTCTCTTAGTGGATAAGGTGGAGGTTGTGATGTAGGCTGCGGCTAAGGAAATGGAAATTCAGCCTCCTCTTGAATGTTCCTTTGAATCTACTAGATTTTCTTTTTCTTCTTGAATGAGGTCAATGATATCCTCAGATTCTTCATCATGCTCTGCTTCAGTAACCCCCACTTTACTTGGGAAATTCAATTTTCTTCAACTACGAAGCGAGACAGCTTTGGCTTGCTCCTGAACTCCCTTCTTAGGGTTCTCCATTGTATCGCTAGGCAAACTTCTATTTATTCTCTCAGCAATCATCTTCTCATTTTGATTCAACATTACTTCTACATGCCGTTGACTTGCTTGCAAGGACTTTAGTATGGTTTTTAACTCTAATAAGTCACTTTCCTTAAAACTCCATTATGGTCTCTGGAAACTAGGAGGTTGATCTGGCCTTTGATAATTCCTCTGTTGCTAAGTGTTGCTCTAATTGTTGTTCTGTTTTCCTCTCCAATTGTTGTAATACATGAAACCTCCTACATTGCCTTGACGAACAAACTGAGCTGTCTCAATTAGAGCAGGATAGTTGTCAATACTATGAGGACCAGAACATGACTCACGCAAGTCAGTTTTTGACATGGCAATGTTATTCTCCAGTTTGCTTAACCTGTTCACAATCATTGAGCGTGGAGCTTGCATATGTGTGCTCGCATCAACTTCTAATACTTCGACCTTCTTTCGGGTTACTCTGTGAGGTGCTTTCCATCTAGAGTAGTTGGTTGCCATTTCCACCAGTTGAATGACATCCCCACATTTTCATCATAAAGGCCCCTCCAGCGAAAGAATCAAAAGATTCTCTTAAGGACTGAGTAAGGCCTTCATAGAAATGTTAGCTGCATATGCTCTTTGATCCCCTGCTGTAGACTTTTACTCAGTAGCTCCTTGAATCTCTCCCATGAATCGTACAGAGAATCACTACTAAAAAGTCATGATAGTTTTCCTGTAATGAGCAGCTTTTGAAGGTGGGAAAAACTTTGTCATGAAGGCCTGCCTCAACTCTTGCCAAGACATGATTGAATTGTTTGGTAGAGAATTCAACCAAGTCTGACCCTGATCCAACAAGGTGAAGGGAAACAATCTCAGCTTGATATCATCTTGAGAGCTCGTGGATCTTAAATGTATTACATACCCTCAAAAAAGTTCTCAAATGGTCGTTGGAGCCTTCATGGGGTAAATCATGGAATGGACAGGCTACTTGAACCCATTGAATTGTATTTAGATTTGAGTTCAAAGTTATCGACCTCCACATCTAGGAATACAAGTGGTGATTGAACCTCATCTTGTCGTGGGATGAAGTTATCACGCAACAATCTAGGGTAGCTGGCTGAAGTTCAGCTCTACCATTGTTCCCTCAATCTTCTCTTGCTATAGCATCCATGACAGCAGAAGTATCCTCCTTAGTTTCAGCAGCTGCAGCTAACTGGCGTCTCAAGATTCTTCTTCTCCTTGTTGTGGCTTCGATTTCTTGGTCAAGGAGTAATTCCTCAAGAGGATTACTCATAGTCATGCACCAGAAATCAAAGGTCAAGAGTAAAAGACAGTAACATGAGATAATAGTTTGATTATGGGATTTATCGTTGCTTGGTGGGTTGTCAAAGCCCCCAAAATAAATTACCAAGTT